CTCTTTCCCAGTTCACCCCCTGCCCTCAGCTTTCCTGCCCCCCACTCACCGAGTACCCCCTGGCAGATGTCGGTCGGGCTGACCCCATTCACAATGAATTGAGGATTGCTTGTGATTTGCTGCAATGAAGGAATAAAGGCTTCAGAGAGCCCAGGACACCCCCCTCCCAAGCTCCCTCCCACTTCCCTGGGGAATGCTGCTGTCTCTTGGAGCTCTAGGGGAAACATGGATGGGGGGGGGCGGCAGGGGGAACCTGGCCTAATTGTAGGCTGTGATGGCAAAGGTCAGTGAGTGATCTTCCCAGGGGTTTTCTGAGAGGTTTTACTTAAGCCTGTCCCGAACCGTCCCCTGCCTTGTTGGAAATGGAGTCTAGTACAGAGCCAAGATAGGGCGGTGGGGGATTGGAGATTATCCAAGTGACTGGGACGTCACTACTACCCCCACCGCCCATGAGTCCATGCCTCCCTTCCCAGTGCCCACTCGGGGCCGCTGCCAGCTGATGTTCTGCACGTTTTTGGAGTTGGGGCCCAGTTCCTTGAAGCCCAATGAGCTGGGTTCAGCGGGGAAAAAGGGGTCCTTGAACAGCTGCCCCTTCCGTAGGCAGAGTGCTCGCAGCTCCTCAAAGCTCTGGTTGTTGTAGTTCTGGGCGTTGTGGTGCTGGCCCATGCCCTTGGCCTTGAGTCGGTTCTGGCTTATGTGAGCTGCCATCCCCTTGTTGGTGAAAACGGTCTCCGCTTAATAATAAAAAGACAAATAACCTAATCAAAAAATGGACAAACGATCTGAATAGGTGTTTTTCTGAAGAAGATACACAAATGGCCAATAATCACATGAAAAACTGCTCAACATCCTTCGTCAACAGACAAATGCAAATCCAGGTCACAATGAGATACCACCTCACATGCACTAGGATGGCTCTAACCCAAAAGACTGGTAATAACAAGTGTTGGTGAGGGTGTGGAGAAATCGGAGCCCTCAGACACTGCTGGTGGGGATGTAAAAGGGTGCAGCCACTTTGGAAAACAGTCCGGCACTCCCTAAGTTAAACACAGAATTACCATATGATCCAGCAATTTCACCTCTAGGTATATATACTCAAGAGAAATGAAAATATATGTCCATACAAAAAATTCTGCACAAATGTTTATAGCAGCAGCAACACTCACAATAGCCGAAAAGTGGGGAAGACCCCAAATGTCCATCAGCTGATGAATGGACAAGCAAAATGAGGAATACACGTACAGCGGAATATTACTCAACAATAAAAAGAAATGAAGTGTACTGAGACATGTTACGACATGGATGAACCTTGAAAACATTATGCTAAGTGAAGACAGCAGTCACAAAGGATCACATATTGTGTGATTTCAATGATGTAAAATGCCCCAAACAGGCCAATCTATATAGAGGCAGGAAGTATAACCATGGTTGCCTAGTGCTTTAGAGCGTTGGGGGATTGGAAGTTGATGGCTAAAGGGTATGGGGTTTCTTTTGCGGGAGAATGAAAAGGTTCTAAAATTGATTGTGGTGATGGTTGCACAACTCCGTGAATGGACTGAAAACCACTGATTGTACACTTTAAGTGGGTGAATTGTATGGTATGACCTCCAGACCATGCAAACAGACGCTGCCTTTTGGGGAGAGTGGAAATAATGGAGTGCAGCGGGCAGGAGGGCAGAGGGGACGGGGCCGCTCGCGGGGGAGGGTCCAGTTAGGGAATGGCCCAGTGGGTGGGGTGGCTGGGTCTACTGAGAGGAAAAGTCAGGCCTGCTGACAGGTCCTGAGCCAGCTGGCGGCTGGGGACCCAGGATCCCTCCTCCCCCAGAGGGACTGCAACCTCTTACACCCTTCCTGAGTCTGCCTGCCCACACCTGTCCGCCCTCCGTGGGCCTGACTGCCCCCTGCCACCAGCAGGGGACCCAGGAGGAGGTCCAGGCTGAATCTCCAGTCCTACCCCACCCAGGCACCTGGGGCCTGCGCCCCCGCATCTCCCTGCCTTCTCAGCTGCCTCTGGAATAAGGAAGTGCTTGGGGGAAGGGAGGAAGGATGTGGTCTAAGTTAAACAGAGCCCAGTTGGGGCCGGGGTGTGGGAGGAATCCAGAGTGAGGAAAAGAAGGGGGGCAGCTGCAGAGGGGGGAGCAGGGGGTCTCAGCTACTACGCTTCCTCCCTCGAGCGGACAGGCAAGAAGAGTTAGAACAGCAGAGATGACAGTCCTGAGCGCCTGCTCTGTGCCGGGCCCCGAGAGAGGGCCACGCGGTGCCCACGGTGACCGGAACAGGAAGCCCGAGCTCGGAGGTTGGTAGTGGGTCGAAGGTCACAGAGTGAGGGCTGGGGTGGACTAAGCCTGACCACAGAGCCCAGATTGGGCTTGTGACCTTCACCCTACACTGCCCTGGAAGGAGGTGCCTCTCCACCGTGGGAAGGCCTGGGGACCCAGAGCCATCTGCCCATCCTAGTCAACTAAGGAGGTCACGGGCCATTTGTGGCTCAGCTTATCTGATACCCCCTTGCTCTTCCCATTACCCAAGCAAGCAAACCCCTTCTCCCGTCCCTCACCAGCGACTCCAGGGACTTCCCTGGGTCCAGGAATGTCTCCCGTTCCCTCCACTTATTAGCCTGACAAACCCACACAGGTTGCCACCCACCAGCCCAGTGCCTTGGAGCACAGGCTGCCTTTGTTCTTCAGCTGCATCGACTGTTCCTGCCTCGGCGCCTCTGCTTGCAATCATTCCTCATCCCACGCACACATCTGTCCACTGGGAAAGTCCTGGCTCAATGCCACCGGCTCGGTGAAGCCTCCCCTGATGCCTGTGCAGAGTCGGGGCTGCCCTGGTGTCCAACACTCTCCTCTGTTATGACACCCATCCCTGCCTGGCCTGTCTGTCCCCACCCCACCCGCCAGGTGATGAGCTCTCAAGGGTGGAGGTGGGGCCCCCTGTCCACTGCGGGGTTCCCTCAGTCTTACGCTGCACCTGACCCAGCAGGGGCTCAGAAACGCTTTCAGGGGATGAATGAGTGACTGTCTGCTTTGCAGACAGTAGTAATTTTTCATCTATGTTTGCAAATCTATGTTTTCTCTCTCCTGCCCCGCTCCCCAACACCCTGTTCCACTCTAGCTCCACATGTATTTTGTTTATTGGTTGCCTCCCTCATAGAATGAATGCTCACGCAGGCAGGGA